AAACTTGACCACGAGTCGCTTCGCTGTAACATCTATATTAACCTTTAAATACTTTACAGGGCGATTCATTTTTCGTGGATTGTCAGTTACCTATAATAGTACAATGATTTAAGTTGTTATTTTGAAAATCAAATGTTGATGTGTTTTTGTGATTACAATTTCCAAAATAATGTAAACAAGATCGGGAAAATGACTTAAAAAATAAATCAAAATCGAATCTTTTCAATATCTTCGTAGGTATCTTCGCTGCTTTTTAATGAACGAAATCATGTTTGGTTATACTATAATAAATATATAATATACCTATTATAAATGTCCATCTGTACTTAAACAGTGATATTTTATTTTGTTTATGGAAAAAAAGAGCTTTCGCCCAAATTATTTTTACATATAAAATTAGTAACAAGATAACAATTAAAAACAAGTGTAATATTAAATGCTTTTACAACTGCATTTATAAACAGAGTAAAGAGTGGTCCTCTCGTTAGTTAATCTCATCATTCTTATAATTGGTTGAATTGTGAGAAATGTGAAAAGTTGTATGGAGAGTAAGATGTGAAGACACTTCAAAATTAACAAGGGAGAATTAATAGGGGAAGAGACAAGATTTGTGAAGAAGGAAATCTTATGAGAGTCTAACGACGGTCAGCTAAAGAAGATAATTAAAGTTTAGCTAAGACGGGTGCATAATCATGGGGAGGGCAAAGAATTTCTATAGATTAATTAACATTATTGAGAAACTTACTTTGGACGATTTCAAGTAGGTGACAAGAATCAGCATAGTGGGGATTCCAAACAACAGACCTATATTCAAGAATAGGTCATACAAACGCATTTAAGTGAGTTGACAAACTTAACCTCACTGGAAATTATTTTAATAAAACCTAGTAATGTATAAGGTCTGCATGTAATGTAATCAATGTGGAACGCGGAGATTAGAACTTACGAATAGGAAGATTAATTTAAGCATACGGTCAACTGACAGGAGTTCTGTTTCATTTATTGCTTAAATAAAAACTATCGGAGGACCTACGGCTGGTGTAGGTCATATAATGGCATTTATCATTTATCACATAATGCCAAAAAGACATAGGATTCAAACCATCAGAGAAGGGGTCACTAAATCCAGATGTATTTAGTATACAGGGAAGAATTTCCTGGTTTAAAGAGTCTGTATAGATCACACCAACAGACCAACGTCAAAATCATAGAATGTATAATTACATAAAGAAAAAAGACACGTGCCAGTTTTTATTGTAACTTATTAACTATTATCAATATTGTTGATCATGCAAATAATCTCGCCTTGAAAAACAATTTCAATAAAAATATTTGTAAGCATTATTTTTTTGTTTAGATAAATTCATCTTTGAACTGATTGAATTATATAAGAATTACGTTTTCATCAATATTTAAAATAAGTGGAGGAGGAATAATAATAAAATGTTTTCCCAGTTGACAATATACTTGGGCGAAACTTAGTAGTCGTCGTCGGTCGTGATTTAAGGCCGGACATCGAAGAATAAATTATTTTGGCAGCGAAAACTTTATACTACCGACCCTCGAGTTGTACGTTTGTTATGAGAAACATGGAGGGGAGGGGTTAGAGGCGGGTATAAAAAAGAACGGACGGGTATTTGATTCACGAGTAAACGTTCCGAACCGGAGCCAAAATTTGTGTACGTGCGTGTGTTGCAGTTGTATGTTTTGATTTTCAACCGGCTGTTAAAGGAAATGTTTTCAGTGTGTAGTACTATGTATTTTGTATTTTTGTTACCGGGTCGGCGAAAAAAACTACTCTAAACTTGTCACATGAAATATTTCTCGGAACTGTAGGTGGACATCGTAGGACAAGTAACCGGACTCGTGATTTATTTCACGACCATAAGACGTGAATTTTTTAGTGAGTCAAATGAATTCTTCTGTTTTCCTGCGGTGGAGATAAGTTGTTACCATCATCATCGTGACATACACAATATAGTCTATATATATATATAGTGAATATAAAGAGAGAGAAGGATGAAGTAAACAAAACAGGAACAGTGTAATTCGTATACTCGGTAGTTAAGCAGAGTCAAACTACTTAAACTTAAACTCTTGAAATTATTTCCGAGACCTTTGCGGTGGGGCTTTTGTATGATTTTGTATTTCCCTATATATTCGTAGAATCGAATTTTTAAAAATTATTTTCCTTCATATACGATCATGAATATTTATAGGTTAATACCTATATAAAATGTTCTACGGATTTAAATTTTTTTTTCTGTAATCGAACAAATTTTTTTATGACTTTCGACTTTTCGATAAATATTTTTATTAATACAATAATTTAGTATTATTATTATTATATTACTATTATTTTTCACTATTGAATTATTATAAAGTAAAAAATTGCAGTAAGTCCATATATTATTCCCATTTTAGTTGAACTTAATAAAATAGTTTGCTTTGCAAACATCATGCATGCGTGATAATTGATAAATGCATACTGTAAACAGACCATTAACTATTTACACTGTCACGACGGCACTTGTACAGGGATTTTTATCAAAATTTAATCCACTATTATGGTATCATATTATCTAGGTTGTGTACGTAACAGTTTTCATGGTAATAACTACCCATATGATCGTGTGGACAAAAATTAAGGTTAAAATGTATAAACCATATTAAACATATTAATATGTGATATTATGAAGCACGAAGTATTTTGAAAAGGAGCCGTAAAAAAAGAAGTAAAAAGGCGTTTATGACAATTTTTGATCTATTTCTGTCACACGGACCAGATGGTCACATTGAATTAGCTGCTGATGAAAATAAATCGTTAATCATAATAATGTTTTTACCGTACTGATATTATATCCGAATTAACCATTTATTTTCAACTGCACTATACTGTAATCGATGCAATCGAAAAATCAACGGGAAAAATTATTCGAATTTGTCTGAAATTCGAGGTGAGCAGTCATTCGTAAGGAAAACGATATTTAAAAATCGAGTTCAACAGTCACCCATTTCGTCGTATTTAACAATAATTATCGAGGGAGGGGAGAGGAATCGATTGTAGCGAAAAATCCTCGTTTTGGGACCGTGCCCGAAAAAAGTGATTACTGCGGATGGAGACAGATGGACTCTACAGACAGTCGAGAACTGTATATTGGCTAAAAGCTAATTTTTTTTTTATACGCTTGACCGACGAATTGCTCACAAAAATAAACGAGGTACTCAACCGAATGGCTACGTACTCTTCTCAGCACCGTTGCCACCGTCGTTTTGTCACGTCTTTTTTTTTTCTCCCCGGTAAATCGTGTTTGTATATATAAAGGTACGTGCAGTATTATTGTTATTATTATTATTATTATTTATATTGTTATTATCGTACAATATTCACGCGGGGATTTGTATAATATACATCGGAGAATAGTAATAGTATAATCATAATACACAAGTACATGAATCATCGATGTACAGTACTTATACTATCGAAACGATCCTTAATCGGATGAACGCACGTTGCCGTCGCCGTTTCATCGTAACATTCCTGCTCTGTAATAATATCCAATGCTGTATATTAAGCACTAGACGGAAACTGTATACACGGGAAAATCGAAGGTTATAGCCCCGACGTTCAAACATAAATCGATACACATGGATGTGATTGAAAATTTACCGACTCCGATCGAAATACCAAAAATTGACAGCCTTCGAAAAATGGATTTACCCGTTATTATGTTCTTTGATAAATCTGCAATGAATTCGACGATAATATTATAAGTATAACTAGTCACGTATCCAGAAAATGTCTACTGTTTTCCATCAAAATCTTATGGAGGCGTCTCCCTCACACTCTTCGTTAAGCTGTACTCGTATCTTATACCAAGAATCTTACTAACTCAAAATCTACATATGGTTGGTATAAAATAAATTGTTTCCGTATCAATTGTATTGATTACTGTATTCACTATCGAGATGAATTTTTCATGCTGTAAAAATAAATTCATCTAGAACATTAGCTGATTTAATTTTTCAACTTTTAAGCTATTAAGAAGAATTTATTCAGATCTAAATACTAATCTTGTACTAATATTAATACTAAAATATCTAGTTAGTCATGGAGAACTCTCGTTCACGACGCCATATCCTTTGGTCACATAAAATACATATTGCTTTTGATATTATGTCGTCACTAATGAAAACATTTCATACGTGAGACGTCACGACTGAGTTAAATTATTTAGAAATAATAAAATAAAATCGTAGTACATCCTTGAATACGGGATACAAACATAAAAAGCTGTCCTAGGATAAAAAGACGGATGCAGCCACTGTTATAGATAATTCAATATATAATCGTAAGCAATGATAAACCATTGCTAACGAAAAAACGATTCTGAGCGGAATTCAGTTGTTAGTGATGCTTTGTCAACATTATATATGTCATATTATGAACATTTTCTTTAATAATATTTGTTTAATATTTTACCTATTTTCCGTTTTTCCAGGCTTTCCCATGTTTTTTCCTGGTTTTCTTATTTATTGAGAAAAATCCTGGGAAAATCATAAAATTACATTTTTAAAGTATTTCCCCACACCGATTTGCTTTCTGAAAAGGTACTAAATTTAAAAATTGGAGCAAGATTTCTGGTAGAAATTTTGTGCACAAATAAAAAAAAAAAAAACAAAAAAAAATTCAAAAATTAACATCTTTGTTAAACCATAAGTTTCTTCGCTCCCTTTAGAATCTAAAATATACGTTAATAGATTTTTATTTTATTTTTTTAAGTTAATTTCTGGGTTCTGTGCTGGAGAAAAGGAACAAACAAATCACTTTTTTTACGTATCCGCACCCGTATTGTGTTCAAAATAAGAACGCGTTAATGAGAAATTCGGGGAAACTGGCGGGGAAGTCGGTTGATAATATATTTAATAATATAAAGGGCGTGCAGGAACAGAGGGTCGAGCATGAGATACCAGATAATGCGTATACTTACGCGTATATACTTGTACTTCCCGTCGATACCGCCGTGCCGTTTCGGTATTCAAACGAGAACGGTTGTACATTATTATTTGTTATTGTAAGTATATTATATAGTGTACGTGATTTCGGAAACGAGATAAAATTGTACGAAAGAATATGCAGGTATCTACGTGGTTTCGCCTGTACGCGCTAATGGAATTTTCGGCTCGAATAGTGGATATCGTTAGTATTACGAATTGTTGGTTGTTGTTATTGTTATTATTATTTTTTTTAGTTTTATCTACGCACTGACTCGTTTGATTATCATTATTCACCGACAATGATGACGTCGACGTGGTATTTACCTTCCAACTGCACTGTTTTAGGTAACATTATTAATAAACGCCAGTTACGATTTTCTGAACGATCAATTTTGTGACTATATGTTAGTCTATTTATTATAACAAAGAACGCATAAATTTTCTTGTCTGTAGTCCACTCAGTTATTCGTTTTAATATCGTTTTCTTTTTCTTTAACACAATTATTTGGGACTGGTCACTTGGAATTGTCAATTGACCCGATCTTCCACATTATCTTCGATGATTGTCTTTATATCATTCTCAATCGTATCCAACAACGTATTTTTCGGTCTTCCTCTTCCCCCCCTTTTTTTTTCATGCGTTTGTTTTCATTATCTTTCTAACTACTTTCGATTTGTCTCTCTTTGCGATATGCCCAAACTATATTAGTCTATTTCTCTCATTATTTCTATTATCAAAGCCACATCAATTAACACCTACTCCGCCAATAAAATCCTCCGTTATTTCACACATAATTTTAACTCTCGTATTTGAATTTTTATCTAATATATTCTCTATCATACCACAAGTAATATACAATATTGAAACTTCTTTTCTAATTAATGACCATTTGAGAACTTCTCTTGGTATGCTGCCTTTTCTAAATCTTATTTTATAGTTTATATTTTTGTTTGTCAAAAAAGATATTAAATCCTAAGCTATACAACTTATGATTAATTAAATTTTTATACCTAATTTTTATATACAACACTTTGCTTAAATTATATTCACTGAAGCTCTTCATCGAACCCATGAAATATAAATATTTATTGAACATAATGAGGTATATTAAATTCAAACACAATTTTAATTTTTGTCTTGAAGGAAGTTTGCTTTCCATACCCTTGTTTTACCCTCTGCTGCTTTCATGCTGTAATGTTAACTTCTTTAGACAATTTCATAAGATAATACAAATTTGGATTTTATTAAAGCATTTGAGTATACAATACTATCAAAAAACTAAAGATTAAATTATACGAAATGCTGACAAATTATATATTTCTTTTTCGCATCTCGATGTAGTTACATCATAATTTAGATACGTACCCACAAGAGTAAAAATATACGAATCGTTCGCTTGCCATCGACAAATGATGTTCATCACAGTTTTTCATGTGAGTATTTCACAAGAAATTTTGATGACGAATCTAATGGTAGACGTTCAAAAAAATTGTAAAACAATCAGAAAAATGAGTAGATATGAAGGTTTAAAAAAAAAAAAATAAATAAATAATACTAGTATATCAACCCATAAATCGATTGGCAACCCAATCTGCCCAGAATCATCAAAAATAGTGATTTTCTAACTTTTATATTAATCATGACCTTTTAATTTTTTTTTTACTTAGACGACCCTTTAAAATATTGTTAAATAGAACTTGAATTATACGATATACTGTATGCACAGTATTTATGGTTTTTGGCGATCACGTTATTATCACTCGCGGTCCCCAGGTAGAAAACCACTGATCTAAACTACAATAAGTGAAATCGGGATTCAAGTATAGTGTAGTATAGTTGACTAGTGAATTTTAAAAATTAAATACAACTGTAATATAACACGTTTATCAAAGCCAAGGCCATTGCAAAAAAGTAATTGGAAATTTTGTTTAGAATACTTACTTATAATTAAACAAATTGTATAAATTTTTTCGTCGCAGTGAAGTAGGTGTAAGTAGTTTATTTAACTTTGGTTTCGTTATTACAGTCGTACTTTATTTACAGAATAGGTAATTATAATTTATAGTATTATAGGCATAGTGAAATAAATAAAATCCGAGTAAATTTGCAACAAAAAATTACTTAATTATATGCAATAATACGTAGGATATTTTTAAGATGAAACTTCTAAATAAAAATATACCGGATGCAACATGTTGTAAATAGTTAATTTTATAATGTAATTTTCATTGCGATTTAATTAATATTAAAGTTTTCTAATTGATAAAATATACTGAGTTTGATAGACCGACACTTATTTTTGTTACATTACAAATATATTTTTGAAAGAAATTTATTCGAATCCCGTCTATTTTCACTTCATTTGGGTTCAAATCGGTACCTAAGGTTTTATAGGCTTTAAAGTGACTGTGGTGTTGATAATATTTTCAAGAGGATTTTATCAAATCCCATAGACCCTGATAGCTTGTCAATAATAATAAAAATAAATATAGGTATATATAAATGTATAAACAAAGAATTTTTTTATCCGTGCAGTAACCATGGAAACTACGCAGAAATAATAATATTTAAAAGACAATTTCACAAGTGTAAGTCTCCTTAACTGAATTCCCCCCTCAAAAAAAAGCCCCAGAACTCAATGGAGTTTTATGTCTAAAAACCCTTAAATGCTAACTGCTGGGAAATTCTCATACAACAACAAATAAATAAACATTTATTTAGGTCTGATTACAAAATTATTAGCGCACTTATGGCTATGAAAATAACCTTGGGCGCTGCTAAAACGTCTAATATTATTAACGGTTCTATAAACAGCCGCTTATTGGAGCTGTATTTAACAAGTTCGATTTTGATTAGGTAACTTTACAGATAGATTAGATGTTTAGATCGATGTTATCAATTTTATACTGCTCAAATGTCCGATAAGGTATTTTATAATTTAAATATGTCATAATAAATGTTTTTGCTCATTTATAATTGGCTTTGTTTATTCATTAATCGTAAAACACATAAACCTTGTAGTTATTAAAATATTAGTCGTTTATTATAACTAATTAAATACGATTTAAAATTAAAATATACCAATATATATATACATATAAAGTTCATTGATTTCATACATGAACCAGTGTCAAAAACATACTGAAAAATGTAAACTAATTTAAATAAAATATTTAGAATAATGTAATGATGTATTATAACCCTTTATATCCATCCCACTATGTCCAGCTTTAAATTTCAATATGCAGATGACATAGCATTGGCTTACCAGTGTGAGGACATGAATCTAGGGAGTACTGACCAATAATCTAAAAATAATGAGTGATTAGTTTTATAAATGGAGACTGAATCTCAACCCCAAATGTGTGCTTTCCATTAATATTATAGAGGAATGTATCAAGAACTACATGTTTACTAGTATAACTATAAATCATAATCTCTCACCATCATATCTATGAATGACCCTGGATTATTCTTTAACTTTTAAAAAACATTCAGAAAATTTATAGAAGAAGGTAAGATCAAGAGTAAATTTGTTACAACAATTAGCAGGGACAGGATGGGAATCAAACGCCCGTTCACTCGGAACCATTTCTTTAGCACTGGTATATTCTACTGTTGAATATTGTTCAGGTGTTTGGTTAAATAATCAACCCATCAAAAAGATTGATGTACTATTAAACAGTGTCATACCTATAAGCTATGTTCATGACGCAAGTGAAACGTTAAGGTCAACCTCTTTGGAGTAGCTCTGGTCCTGCCAAATATCACTTCTCCCGAAATTAGAAGAAAGGATGCTCTGGTTAAAATAATTGTTTAACAGGATCTAATAAAAAAATTCTATATTATCTAAAATACTTGGTAACATCCCACAGATACGTCTGAAGGACAATCTGCTGACTGAGACAATCGACCAAAAACTAAAATACCGACAGGGATAATAAAGTGTCATTTAATGACGTGTAATTTATATGTATATTTTAAAAATCTCAAATAAAGAATTAATAAAAATATTTATAATAATTTATAATTTTATAATAAATACTAAAAATATACTAACTAAATACGATTTTTAAAAGTAGTCTTATTACTCGTTTCCTTTATATTATATATTGTATTGTATTATATTATATTATTACAATATGAAATCTGATGGATAAGCCGTCCAGATACGTTGGAATTTAACGTTTTAATTATCTTATCGATACATTTTATAGCTCGACAAAGGGTCATTGAATTACTAATTCACATAGAACCCTTTTCCGATTGTGCACATTTAGTTTAGCCATCGAATATACACACAGTTTCCATAAATATTTTATTATATCGTAAATTGTAGAAAAACAGTTTAAAGTGTATGGATAAATGAATTTACTATTGTTCTTCCTCGAAAAGCTGAGAAAAGGTAGTTGTGAAACGCTATTTAATGATAAAGGACTAAAATAGAAATGATCTCTTTTATCGAAATTGTGAAAAAAAATACATAAATGCAATGGAGGTGTATCCACTATTTCAATAAATTGATAGAAGATATAAATTAAGAGTCGATAAATAGCGTAATATATAATAGCATACTCCAGAAACTAGTCGTGTTTGTGTTGTTTTTGCGAATTCTATACTAAAAAGTAAATAACAAATTAAATAGTATAAATATACTTAAATAAAAAAAAAAGCTTCAAATTATTTAAAAATGTATTTAGTTTTTTGTTTTAAAAATCGATATAATAATCGTTTTTTTAAATTCTTCGAATCCAAAAATTATTACAATTGGTTTGGTTTGGTTACGTTGTGTAATGCAGAATTTGACAGTCTAATATCTGCTTAATATTTTTGTTGTTGCGTAATACTATAAAAAAAAAAAAAACCGGGTTTTAGAAATTAATTTTATTTATTTATTTATTTATTTATTCATTATTATTATTTACTTATTTATTTAATACTTTTAAGATATAGCAAAGTCTACAACAAATAAACTTTCAAAAATTATGCATTATACACAATCCAACGTTTTAGAAAATATAAGCCCTTATCTTTTCAGATATAAAGCGCATAACTATCGCCGTCGGTATTTTGGTTGTCGGTCGATTATTCAAATCCATACCTACGCACCTAATTTAACTCTATAATTGGTATTTGAAAAATGTATTTTTAAAATTACTGCATTCTCATTCACCATTCGTTAATTTTATAATGAACGCATTCACTTTCATATTCAATATTCATCAAATATTTGTTATACATTTCAAGTGCATTAAAAAAATAAAAATAAAAATAAAAATAAAATAATAGGTTTTTTTTTTCTTTTTGCTAAAGCTGCCTAAAATCTGATTGCCGAAAGAAAATTAGTAGCTGTAGGATAACATTGATACTACTCCAAACTTTTGTTACAGAATATAATTTATTAAAGATATAGATGATTAAAATGTAAAGGCAAATTTTGCATTACATTTGCTATTCACATTTTAAAATATATTGAATGCATTTTTGTTCGCTATTTCTTTAAAATAAAATAAACGTATTTATGAATTAATTTCCTTAAAAATGAATGATATTCAACTAATACGTTCCTATAAATTAATTCTTTCTAAACACTGATTATAATTGAAATCAGTTCAAGGAGCAATAATAATAAATGTTACAGTAAAACTTTTCGTATTAAAAAAAAAAAAAAAGAGCTGATACTGAAGGCGGGTGCGACCACTGTTGTAGGTGAGAAGTTGGGAAGGTAGGATACATAAGATTATTTCATTTATGAAAGACGATTCCGAGCGTAGTTCGATCATACATAATTTTAAATGCCGTAATTTATTTAACCTTATCTTTCTACGTTTTTTATACGATTATTATAAAAACCAATTCGAAAATCAAGACTTGCATCATTAAAAATAAGATTAATAGTTCAACAAAAAAGTCTTTTCGTTTTTTAATTGGAGCCATTTGTGCTAGAAAACGTTGTAGGTATTTATTTATAATAACAAGATCGTGAAAAAATTGTATTTTTTTTTCCGTTTAATCGTTTTTATTTTAAATACAGTTTCGAAAATCAAAAAATAATCTACGTATTTACCATTTAGATAAATTTACTTTCAGAAAAGGTGCTACACTTATACTTTGGTGCAAGATTTTTAGGAAAAAAGTGGTCTACAGTATGAAAAAAAAAAATAATAAAGTGCTATTGTAAAAAAATTAATTAAAAAGCAAAAGAAGAAAATTCGTCTAATTATTTTGGAAATTTTACCACGTCTTGGTAAATCCAAGTTTCAAGTCTCTATGTGTATTTATAACCGAATTACGGTAAAAAAATTCCCAAAAATCAAAATTCCTTAAATGCTCAAAAGTAGTTCAAAAGTTTAATGATTATATCGTAAGAAAATAAATCAAAAAGGCAACAAAAATGTGATTTTTCGATTAAATCATTTTTTCTGGTAGAAAACGTCTTCCGTGTTTTTATAATATAATGAGATCGTGAATTACGTTTTCCTACGTTTTTTGCCACTTAAGTGTTTTTTCTTTTTAAAATTGAATTAAAAATCAAAAAATGACTATTTAAAGTACAATCGAGACGGTTTGGGCTTTCAGAAAATTGCTTTTGTAAACATCGGAGCAAGTTTATTAGAAAAAAATGTGTCCTCAAACTAGAATAAAGAACAACGAACAAAAAAATAAACATCATTGTTAAACCAATAGCTACGGTCGGAATCTATCCGATAATAACTAATGTGCTCGATGTTTTTCTTGTATTTCTTTTACTTACTATGCATAGCGTTTAAATAAACTTCCATACTCCGTATTATAAGGTCGTTATTGCGCAGCCGTAATACCCCTGGAAATACCGTGGGGACGTTTGACGGGAGTTCAAGTACTGTACATACAGGATGAAATTTAATTATAATTATAATAACATACCATCAATTATAATATAGAACATTTATGTGTGTTAAAAACGAAAAAAAATAGTAAAATATATTATACGCTCGTGCTATGGAGTAGTAATGTTACGTGGCCCACTTTTTCGGAAATCTCTTTTGTTCTCTAAAACGTTCATTATTTATAATACGAACACATTTATTGTCACAATAAAAAACTAAACGCATTATCTTTACGGTTGATACCGTTTTGACAAATTTTGCATTTGATAGACTCGGTGGGTAAGAAAATGATACCTGATTGTGTACCACCGTAAGTATCCCAGTAATAAACTATTTTATGTGGACATTTTTCAACAGTTTAGTAGAACCAACTAATAACTCGGGCTATTCATAATAATTTCTTAATTTTTATTAAGTAATATTAAACATACCTATTATATTGTTAAGAGTTTTTAAACTTTAACACACAAAAATTTAAAATTCTTTTTAACTCTAAATAGTTAAAATGGTACATTTTTGTTTTACCAAATTTGATTTAATCATTAATCATTTTGAGAATAACTAAATTAAATAGTAATACAAATCAGGACTATACATATAGATTTCGAAAGTTATTGTTTTCAATATTTAAATTTACCAGCAGTTTTTGAATATAATAGTTAAATATTAGTTACAGAATATTAATTTAGTTTAGTCAAATATTCGTAGATAGTTGAAATTTAGACAGAAAACTTATGTTTGCTTTTTCTAGACGTGATAAAATTGTCAACAAATTTTAACTTTGCTAATTGTTTACGTACATTTTATTCGGTAGGTACTTGTGGTTAAAATTATTAGACTTAACAGAAATGCTTGACAGTTAAACAGGAGGTTTATTTTAAGTTGTACTTTGTAGTCAAAATAAAATTTGAGTCTGATGTATTATTTTTATTTTATAAGTCCTAATATCAAATTTTGATGAAAATTTTAAATATTACGGCCTTTTGGAAATTTATAACCGAACTTCGCTCCTAATCATTACGTATAGATATAAACTAAATGCCCTTCTATATCTTACCTTTCCAACTTCTCACCTACTATAGTTCCCCATCTATCGTGTGAAATATATCCGGCTTTCTTTTTTTTTTGTTCTATTTCGTCGGTTGATGTATCATGTGGACAATAACGATAGAGTTTGGTAGGTTTAACACTTCATATTTTATTTCTCAGTATATGGGCACTGAGTAAAATATATAGTCGTTATACGGAAGAGTTAATTTAAAAAAAAAAATCAAGCATCAATTTTATGGCCCATAACTTTTAAAATAACTGTAGTAAATATTATATTAAGAAAAAAATAAAAATTACTAAAACGATCTCGTCACTACTGTACGTTGAACATAATATTTTGTTATTTTATGCGTTCGTGGTGATGGGTTTGTGTAGTTTCGTTGGGACTCAACCCTTCCTCCCACTTCCAAAGTTACTATAAAGTATAAGTTATATTGTGTTACTCGCAAAGACAATTTTATAGTGTCGATAAATTTAACCGTATTTGTCGGATTT